CATGCGCACTGGCTGATCTAGCCTGAAAAATAAGCTTTTCATAACGCTATTTGAGCAAAAGTACATTTACACAAAACATTTATGACACAGTTGTTGTCAGATTTCTTTGGTGATTTCAAATATGAAATCTAATCGTAAGCTTAGTGAACAGTTTTGGAGAATTTGATGTTTCCCAATTCAAAGAGATAGGAGTTGCACTTGCATGCCCGAGAGGCGTTTCAAAGAGGGCCGCAGAGTGACATGACTTGTCTTAAAAGGATTTTGTTACTACTAATTAATTGCAATTTGATTACATTACAGATTACTGCATTTAAAAAATAATCAGATTACTAATTATTTTACTTTCAAGTTACCAAACCTAAAAAACACTACAAAATAAAACTCATAGTTCTTTCAGTAATTTAATATTGACTGAAAAATTTCTTAAGTATCGAAACAGCAACTTGAATGATCACTTGCATTTTTTCCTGATAACAGCGAAAAGAACTTAAAATGTTTCGTCATTTTTGATCGTACAGATAAGAGTAATACATAATTTGAAACTGTAAAAGGTCTACCTTTATTTGTATACACTCGCAATATCAACAAAGCATTTTGCTTTTGTTAAAAATGAAAGAAAACAAACAGGGTGCGCTTTCTGCAGTAATATCTATATGCAGTTATATAGAAGTTCTGCGAATATCTTTCTGAAACGCGTCACTAAAATGAACGAAAACTCAGCGAATACTATCAACAAAACATTGTGCTTTTGTAAAATAAAGAAAACAAACAGGGTACACTTTCTGTCGTCTCAGTCTCCACAAACTTCTTTCTGAAATGCGTCACTAAAATGAACCAAAACTCAGCGAATACTTCACACACAGACATGAGAGATATATCTAAAGCTTTTTAAATGAAGTCAGTCATGTCGAAAACAAATATTCTGTGATAAATCTGTATGAAACCAACGCGAGGTCCAGTTTTTCCCATCTGAGCTCATTATCTGTAATGTGATCACGCCCACAAGCAGCGCACGCTATTCATACGGTAATCATCCACGTGAGACGCGCGAGCCTGTAAACGCCCACATCACCTTCATAAACAAAGCCTGAAGATTCATCAAGTTCATGTAGGATACCTTTCGTTTCTGGAAGAGACATGCTGTGAGGAATAAGCCAGAATTTACCTCAGAAGAAGAACGCGACGCGCAGCTTGAGCAGCGGAGGAGATCATTTCTGATAAGTCATTTATTTTTACTTATATTAGTGTTATTGTGCCATAAACTTGTACACATTTTACTAGTTGGACTTTTCCCAAACTATAATGCCAGACTAAAATATGTGAAATCAAGTGCATCATTTTGAAATATGATTTAATTTAATTGCATTTAAGAGTTGTATGACTCGTCTGCATTTTAGCTTGCATTCTCCGGTGATTTATTAAAGGGCATACTGACGTGCAAAACATGATTTTAAAATGCATTTACTTCATATTTTTTCATATTGTTACTTAAGTAACGTAATTTTACTGACATTAGTAACTGTAATCAATTTACATTAGGGCTGCCACTAACGACTATTTTTATTTCGATTAATCTATCGACTAATTTATCGATTAATCGATTTAATACTTGTTTAATATTGAGCAAGCACCATTTCATTCAAATGTCCACTTAATCTTTAATATGTGTCCATTTCTCTAGGACAGAAATAGGATAGCCACTGTAATTAAATGAATAGGTGGACATCAAAACGTGTAAACTCAGAGTGAGGGTTTGAGCTTTTATTTTGAAACTGCGATGTATTCTCCTGAGTTTGCGTAGGTTTATAAATGATTTACCTTGCAAATCTGATGAAATGGTGCACGTTGCGTTCCCAGATGAACGTTATAATAAACCCAAACTCACAACACGCAGAGATGGAGTTTGAGACGCTCCACACATGTAAATGATAACAGTTCCTGTGGAACTACTGTGAACGGAGCCACTGTGTGACGCATGTACTTAACCTACACGCATGTAAATAATGAAAGCGCATATACTGTATTAGAACTGCATCGCATATAATTATTTAATTAAATCGTAGCGTTTGTGAATTCACAATTATGCTTCATTATGATTTTTAAATGGGTTTAATATATCATGCAGCCTTGGGAAACAGTCTAATAATGTGTTTTATGGATTCTCGTCCGTGAAATGCGGCACTTCCGGTATTTTGCCGGTTAGTCGACGCGAGCAAAATGAAGTTGAGGACTTTAAAAAAAATCGACGAATTGCGACATACATTAATTTACATACATTTAAAATGTAACGCATTATATTACAGCATTATCAGTAGGGCTGCACGATAAATCGCATGCGATATTTAACTCGCATCTTATCAGTAAAGCCGGTTCTGTAACCTGCAGGCTTTCACATTGAGCAGCATTAACTACACAGAGCCGTTGTTCACTGACGAGTTGCGCAAAAAATCGCGCGAATATGAACGTGGTTTTGCGCAGCTTGTCAGTGAACAACGGCTCTGTGTAGTTAATGCTGCTCAATATGAAAGCCCGCAGGTGATGGAGATTTACCGCTGATTACAGAACCGGCTTTCTGACAAGATGCGCATTAAATATCGCATGCGATTTATCGTGCAGCCCTAGTTATCAAGGAAGGGTAATAAGAATACAGTAATGCGTTATACCCAACTCTGATGATTATACGTATAGCTTCCTTTCCAGACCCTGAATGAGAAACTCATGCTAAAGGACATCAGGTACCTTGCAGGGCTTTGAATCCTTGTAGTGGGACTCTGGAGGAGCCGGTGACAAACTGCAGCAGTCTGGCTCTCCTCTCCTCATCATATGACTCCACGGCCCGCCAGAACCACTTCACGATGTTACTGTCAGCTGTGCAGTGCTTCAGACGGGTGTTTGACTTCCAGTCATTGATGTCGATCTTCCCGAGTCCACACACAATAAGCTGAAAGCATGAGACATACCTGAATCCCTAACCATGCTCTGATACTGCTCATGGCTATGAGCGAAAATAGCAACTAAAAATATGCTCCATTACACATTTATCAAGACTGAAGTATGAGCTAAGAAGTCAAGTCGATTGCCTGGTTGAAGTGGATTTATTTTAGCAAATGGACGTATTTGTTTTCCTACCTCCAACTCTTTCTCATCAAACGCCTTGAGTAGGTGTTGTGGGATGACCTCATTAAAGCCTTTCTGCAGGGCCAGGAACTGAGCCTCGATGCCCCTCAGGAACCGCCAGTTCACATACAGCCTGCGCAAAAGCAGGAACAAGACACTTAGGCTATGTTCAGACTGCCAGAAAAAAAATCAGATTGTTTTGCATATCTAGATATTATCCAGATGGGGTTTTGAAAGCCTGGACAGGCTAACAGGCTAACATTAAAATTAGAATTTTTTCTTCTTCCCCAAATCTGATTCAAGCCACATTTGAAAGTTTTTTGAAACTTGATTCCAATCAGATTTTTACAGATGCGTCTCAGTCTGGGCACTCTGGCTGCTCAAATCAGATTTTAAACAGTCTTTTGAATCACTCTTAACATGACACACAATGATAACATCAAAACCAGGGACAGAAATGCCGAAAGTATTCATACTGTATTCAAACGAAGCTGAAACCAGCCCTGACTACAAAACAGAACAATCGCAATATATGCTAGTCTACTCCATTTTTTTGCTTATTTGGAGAGCGAGATGATGCACCTCCGCTTTTCCTGCATCGGTTCTGAAAGCCTCGTCACATAGGTGGGTACGTCTACATCATTAGCAAAGCAATGCATGCAGATAGGTTGGTCATGTCTGGACACACAAATCTGATTTGATCACTTGCAATTAATAGTGCGGACAGTCTGCCTTAAAAGATCTGATCTGAGAAAAATCAGGTTTGCCTGCAGTCTGAACAGCCCTAATGACATCTGCAGAGACACATTAGACAGGGAGGAGGAAGGTGTTCAGCGGTCAAAGCAGCTGAAGTCCTCACTCACCTCACATACTCCTTCTTGGTGTCCTGGGTGACAGGGATGCTCTTGCCGTTGGGTTTGAGCTCATGCTGAATGATCTCTCCGTATGCATTGTGTTCGACGCAGAATGTGTGGTCCAACACCCCAGTGATGTCATTATCTCTAAACACAGACATAAAAGAAAAAATATATAATGATTAGATTAATTATGCATGCATTATATTAATATATATTCTATTTTATTATATAATTTTAATTAAGTTAATTCATTTTAATAATGATTGCATGATTCCATTAATTGCAGGACTAATTTGAGTTATCTAACGAAGGCAAAAGTTTTTTGTTTTTTTTTGTCAACTATTTATATATCTAAGGCAGCATAAACTCTCTGAATCTACTTTAATCCCACCTTGAAAGCAGAAAATGTGTTTTGCAGTTCAGCATGAACACACTAAGCACATAGTACCTAACTGCTGTTTCTGTCTCTTATTTTCTAGACAAGAATTGCGCTTATTTAGACGCAGAATGTCTTTATGACCACATCAAACAGGAGACTTTCAGACGCGCACTCCAACTTCACCTCAGTGCCAGGCGCTAGTCAAACGAGCGCGGAAAAGGTACAAGTGACGAGGAGCTTCAGTGAACTGCGGTCAGATGAGATGTTGTCATATGTCAGTAAAAACCAATATAGCTGTTATACTGTGCTCGTAGCACGTTCTTCAATTGCACACACAAATATGGCAGCACGCGCTGCATTATATAAAAGCGCTATATCATATTAATGCGCAAATGAAACTGCGAGCATGCAATGTCATAGTTATGTCAACAGTTAAGTCATGAAGTTACCAAAAAAGGCGATTAAAGCAGCCCAGCACTGTCTCCCTCATCTAACACACCTGATTCAACTCGTCAGCTCATTAGTAGAGACTTTTAAGACCTGAAGTGGGTCAGAAAAGGTAAAGAGTTGTGAGAAAATATGATGCGCGTCAGATCCGTATCATGTTCAGCAGCCGCAGCTCTTAAAGCAGCCAAAATAACCTAATAACCAGCTGCTGTGATGTCTGCTAATCAAACAACAAAAGAAAAAAAAAAGAGGAAATCAATAACCTTTGTAGCTTTAAGGATTCATCAATATTTAATTTAGAATTTAGTGTTTGATAACTTTATTAAATTTCTGTATATTTCCTAATTGCGTAAGGGCACAGGTAGCTAAATATGACATTTATTATAATGGGTTTATGTGAAGATTGTTTTAAGTTCACTTGAAGTTATTTTTTTCTAAAGTCTAATAAATGTTAAAACTGATAGCTCTCAATTATACTGTAATGTTGAATGGCTATAGTCGATGGTTAAATATTAGGGGAAAAAAAACTATTTCCTAGAGACATCAGTAGTATTGGTATCAGTGATACAGGCCTTCAGACATAAAAAAAGATGCCACTAAATAAATATTAAAAAATATACTGTCTTTATGTTGTTTCTACATTAATTTGAAGATTGAATGTGAAATTATTGCAATATAAAAGTATATTTAAAAACTTTAATGTTAGGTGGGAATAATCGCAATTAATTTCAGAAAAACGTGCAATTAATTAGTTTTTTTTTTAATCGATTGACAGCACTAATATATATAATGTTAGGTGGGAATAATCGCAATTAATTTCAGAAAAACGTGCGATTAATTAGTTTTTTTTTTAATCGATTGACAGCACTAATATATATTTACTTATATTTATTATACAGCATAGACATATTATCATGCATTATTCCAGACCCTCTTTTGCTGAAAATACAGAAGCAGAGTAATAATTGTATTACAGTGTTTCTGAGTGTATATTATACAGCGCTATAGATGGACGTATAAAGCACACTGACAGGATCCAGACGAGGCTGTTGTGGAGATCTGGATCCACTGACTCCATGTCATCCAGAGTGATGGGTTTCCCCAGCAACTGCTTGTAGAAGGGCAGAGTGAAGCCTCCGTCTATGTAGTGCCCGTGGAAAACAGCCATTCCCATAATCCTTCCCACAAAGTGGAAATAGGACAAATGCTCCTAAAAAACAAACAAATAAAACAAAAAAGATGAGTGTTTTTTGGATGAGTAAATGGGAAGCTCATGAGGAAGCCACTTACCGGATTGACGGCAGAGTCCGGGTTGATCTGTAGCGTGTAGATGTCATCTCGTGAATACTGGAACAGTCCATAGTATGGATTTAACATCTCATGCGACAGCAAGTATAACCACTCCCTATGACACAAACACGTAATGGCACAAATTATTGACAGACATTCAGTCTATCATGGCCCACTTTGACACTGTTATACTCTAATTCTACCACTAGATGGACAGTTGGACACACGCGTTAAAAGACAGCAGGAAACTGTATTCATAACCCATTTTACTTCCATGTTGTGATATATTTATTAGCGAAATAGGATATCATTCAAGAATGTATTCCAGGGGTTGATTTTATCCATTGGGAATCGAATGGATTGTGGAAAATAACAGATGGTGGCATCAGTGGATAGTTACATATTATTGAAACATACATTTTTCATCCAAATGACAAAAACATGTTTTTCTTTTTAATAATGTTCACAGATGTATCATTCACAACAAATGTTAAGAAAGAAAATGGGGCCAATTTTGATTTCATGCTCAGCATCAAGCTTTAAGTTTTGTGTCTCAGTGTCAAACTCATACCTTGCGACTCCACCATAGTCGAGACCTTCCTCTCCTCTGAACTTGACCATCAACCTCTTCCACAGGTCCTTCGGCCTCATCTTCATCACCTGCCGATATGATTCCTAAAGAAACAGTGGAGATGTGGTGTTAAAATGTAAGAAAGGTTACAGAAAAGTCATACGTTATACAGACGTTTGTAAGAATGCAAGTCATCCATACGGTCATTTAAATTAAGAATAGAGTTCACACTAAGGCCATAGTAACTGATTTGACAAACTAGTTTCAGACTTATTTAGCTTTATATAACTGTCAAGTGCAATAAACATCTTTAAGTATATATGCGTTTTTATTGCTATATTTTTTGTTTTAATTTTTTCGTTTTTAAGTTTTAGTAATTTAGTTGTGTGTTCTTGTCATTTTTATTAGTTTATTTTATTGATTTTTTTTATTTATTATATTTTAATGCCTATATATTTTTTATTTAATTTTATTCAAGTTTTAATTATTTTAGTACATCAAGTTAACCTAAATAAAAAAATGTTTCCTTGGCAACTACCTGAAATAAAATAAGTTTAAGTGTTTTATTTCAGTTAATGTTTGAGGCACAAAAAGTTTTTTTTTTATGGTTTTAGTTTTGGTTAACAATAATAAGCCTGGTATATTAATGCAACACACAAATCTGCATTACTTAAGCTGTAACTTAGCAGCCACTTATGCTGCAACCAGCCCTTGGAGATGCGTCAATTTATTACAGTTGATCTGTCATCTTATAACCTTGCCAATAAACTAAAAAGAACCCAAACTCGTGTGAAGGGTTCATATAACCCGATGTTTACGGTCAGACTCGTCCGTGGGGAGAGAGCGCAGCATGTTGGAATGTAGCATCCAGAAATGTCTGTGCGCATCCAGCTCAACACCCATAAACACCTAAAACAGATGACCAAACAGACCAAAAATCACTTCAAGCTGAGCGAAGAGAGAGGGGGGTATAAACGTTTTTCCAACAGGCCTGAGATGGGGCTCAGAAACGTGTGCAGTACACGTCACACACATTAGCTGAACTCAGCATACTAATGAAGTTTAACATCATGTTTGATGCATTACGGCTTTTTCCACACGTAAACTGATTTGTGGCTAACATCCAGCAGAGCTCAAAAGCCTTTACAGTAAAGGTTAACCAGGCCTTTGGGCTTGTTAAGCACTATTAAAGGCTCGTTCAGACAGACAGGTGTTACTGGGGCAACGGACACCCTCAAACTACAACAGAGTTCCCATCTGCCTCCATGCTGACAGCACTTCTCAGAGCTGACAACTGAGTCAACGTCAATGTGGATTCTGCTGTTTTGTGATTGGTTGAGAGGTTGCAGGGGTATGCAAAAAAACAAGACAATAAAAACAGCCCAACGAAATGAAGCAATGAGAGTTATTTATTTTGGCCATTTGACTCTTTATTGGATAGACATGCAGTAGAGAGAAAATAAATATCATGTTGAGAAGAAACGGGAATGGGATGGTAAAAAAAGATCATTAGGTGGGATTGACCCTTGTGCCACATAAATGATGACTCGAGATTATACGAGCGTTAAGACTGCTAAAGCCATTTAGTATTTTAGTCTCGTTTTACATTAAAAATATCTAAACATTATAAATTTACTTCAGAAACAAAGTAACGACTTTTTCACTCTTTTTATCTGTCAATTAAATAAAAAATCTACTTAATTCATTAGGTAAAAGATACTTTCTTTCCTTAGATTACTCTATGAAAAATACGGTCATTTCATTTACTGATTAAATATATTTGAAACAATGTTGAGATGTTTTTTTTTTACAGGAAAAGACAAGAAGAGACTAAAATACTGAAAATGAAATTTTAGTGGCATCTCTGATTTGAGCATCATTAGCTAAAACGGCTGTAGAGTTGGTAAGTTAGATTCATTTTTCTGAATCAAACTGTTTCAATGAACTGATTCAAAGCTCTGATTTAATGATTCGTTTGCATCACCACCACAATGGTTAAGGAAGTCTCTATAATATTTTTAATATATTAAAATGTCTTGGTAATATATTTGCAGGTAAATATTGTTATTACTATGTTTTTGTTACGTTGGTGCATTCAGTATTATTCCTAGTGTTCCTACTTGGTTAATGTATCCATATCACCTACTTGGTTGATATGGTGTTTTCTCTGATTGACAAAAAAACCTTCCTAAATACATCAATATCTACAATGTTCAAAAGTTATGTGTCGGTAAGATTTTTTAAAAAATGTTCTTGAAAGAAGTGTCTTGTGAAATGGTAAAATGGCCATCCAAGGCTGCATTAATTTGATAAAAAATATAGTAAAAACAGTAATATTGTGAAATATTATTAGAATTTTAAATAATTGTTTTCCATTTGAATATATGGGCTGTTTTTCGGCAGCCATTACTCCAGTCTTCAGTGTCACATACAATTTGTTTCAGGAGTATTTGATGAATAGAAACGTTAAAAGAACAGCATTTATTTGAAATGGAAATCTTTTGTAACATAACACATGTCTCTGCTATTCTTTAATATTGAGAACAATTTTTAGAACTATATCTTTATCGTTATCGTCCTTGGTGTGAACGGGCCTTTAGACTACGTTTTATTTGATGGGGGGCGGTGAGGGACCTGGATAATGGGTGGGGGGCGCTGGTCCAAAAAAGGTTGAGAATCACTGCTTTACGGTAAAATAATCCAGGGTCTCACCTCAAAGATCTCCTCACGCGAGACCTCGATACGGCAGTGTCCTGCCTGCGGTTGCTGCTGGGACAGCTCCTGTCTCAGGATTTTCAGTTTCTGCACCAGATCTCGCTTGTACTTGGGCACCGTGAGACATTCAGGGTCCTCGGGGAGATTTCCGGGAGACATGACAGACTGAGCCTGCTCCTTCAGCTGTTGGGGACGACTGCTGAGAAAGAGCGAGGGGAAAAGAGAGACGGGGGTAATAAAATGAGATGAAATGTTCTGTCAACATGCATGCACAAACGCTGAAGCCTGACCCCTTCTTCACCCCTCCTGATGTCAGAGCAGCATCGCCCTTTCAGTGCCAACTCACAGGTATGTCACGCCAGCACCGGACAAAAAAAAGAGCTTCCAAATAGATGAAATGACACGAGTTCACTTCACAAGCTCCAACATGGTCCTGAACTGATATTTTTAGAACAATTAACGACACTTCAAATGTTTAAATGTCACTGCATTCAATTACAGAATGTCAAACGATGTGGCATCTGCAAACAAATGCTACTGCTTGAGCATAACAAATTCAGTGCTAGACAAATAAAGATGGAGTGAGACCCATTCTTTAATATCAAAACACTCTCACTTCACAGCCACTCTCAGACTCTCATTTCTCCATGTGACACTGCTCTTCACACTCGTTCTCTGTCTGCATGTGACCCACGTTCCTCAAATATTCCCTTCCTCCTGTTCGTTTTCCTTGACACGCAGAAACTCACTTCTCCTTGCCAGCACTTTTCCTGCTTCATGCTGTATTTAAAGGAATTAATAACTGGTCTAAGATCTGGTTTGAATCTGAATCAATGTAAACACAGATAGTCTAGATGGATTCTTACTGCTGCTTTGTAAAAAGTGCATTATCCTAACTTTGATTCATGGGTATGGCAAATATGGATATCAGAGAAGGTAAGGAGGAAATCTAGTTCAAAACAAACTCTTAGAAATATAAATGTCAGCAACTTCAGTTGACCTGGTAAAAAGGGCAAAATATCTAATATATTTGTTTTAAAACAATAACTTACTAACACATGGCTTTCTTCATGTGATGCTGACTTTTATTTGGTAGATAAAGGTTTTTCAGTTATTTTATAAATAATCTTTTATTAACAAATAAAATATTTTTATTATTTTATTATCTTTTATCCACCAAATCAAAGTAGCTTCAAGCTGCTATTATTTAAAAATAAATAATAATAAAGATTATGCCAAATTACTTATGCCAAATATATATATTTACAATAATTCCAGCCTTTAAATATACTTGTCTGTCATTATAATCTTAAATAATAATTACAATCATTCCATCATTATATTTCTTATAATCAGATTTTTTTTTTACTTTATGTACCACAAAAAATATCCAAATTAATTAAATTTTTTAATTGAAATTATTTCAACTGAAAACATCTTTATTAATGTATGTACTCCAGCTAATATCTGTAAGAATCCATATTTAATATATTTTTGAATAACTTAACAGATTCAAACAAAAAACAAGCATCACATAAGCAAGAAACACTTAGCTAGCACATTTTTGGATCACTTTTTTGACTGTAACCCATTAGTGACCCTTGAAATGCTGGATGTGGATCAAGAGGGTGGATCCATCAAAAGACAACAGCAACTCAAGCATGCACACACATGTATGACCATCACCCACCCACTCGAAGCTCTCATCACGCACTTAAAATTACCGACTGATCGTGAGATCATAAACCCATCAAGGTTGAGAGGAAAGCACACATCAGAGGATTTTTGCCTGATGACAGAGAGGTGAGATCTTCTGCGCTGATATAAGGCAGATGGTTTGACAGATATCCACATAATCTGTCTTGATGCCTTTTCCAAAACTGAAACTACTGCAGCGCCAGGAACGTTTAGACTGACTCACTTTGACAGTTAAGTTTGCTTGACGGATGACGTCTCAATGCAAATGATCTGCTCAGACTGAGGTCTGGCATCTCTTTGTGGAAAACATGGCGATGCGATATAAAATCAAAATCTAGGTTATGAACATACTGTGATTCTGTCTAGTGTATAATTATTCCAAGCTACATTGTGGTAAAATTCACACTTTTGTTGCTCTATTATCTGCATTAGATTCATAGCTCATTAAGTTTCAGGAAAAGGTTTTTGGAAATAATTAAGTATGTGCTGACCTAAAGCTACAGTACATTTCGGACTTGCTCTGAAAGTTAGTCAATCTCGTTTCACATAAACATGCATGTGAAAAACATCAACTAAAACCACTGTTTCTTGCTGTACTGCTACACAGTATCATGAGGTTGCTAAGCGGTTGCTAGGGTGTTTCCTCACAGGATAACTGGTTGCCATAAATTTCATGAAACATAAACATGCTCATAATTGTAATGCTATAAGCACTTCAGTGGCAAAACAACTAAACAAATATTTATTTGGGACAATCAAATGACTAAATATCCCTTGTACTACTGTCGAACAGCTTATCAAAACTAGCAGTAGATCATTATTTGTCATTTTAAGATCAGCTCCATTGTACTGAAGACTGTTTCTACCTATGAAAAAAGGCATGTTTACATTATTTTTTGTAATTGTGTCTTTCTTTCTTCCTCCTCCTTTTACAAATATCATGCATGTCTAAGTCACACATATTATGTAGTATTCTTAGGGTTACTCAATTTAACCTGGTAAAAAGGTCAAAATATCCAATATTAAAACAACAACAACTTTGGTGGATAAAAGTTTTTTTTTCAAATATTATTTTATTTCAAGTATTTTTAAAATATAATATTAATATTTGAAAAACGTTAACCACTAAATAAAAGAAAATTGGCTTAATTGCTTACATTATTTAATAGACAAATAATACAGAAAGAGATTATGCCAAGTTATTATTAGGGTTAGGTATCGTTTGGGTTTTTTTCGATACCGGTGCCAAATTGATACTTTTAAAACGGTTCCAGTGCCTAAACCGATACTTATTAAAAAATAAATAAATAAAAAATCCCCCCCAAAAATGATGGATTGGCCATTAGAATATAAATAGAATAGAGAGTGCAAATGTTAGAGGGTCAAGTTTTTTAATAAAAAAAAACAAGCAGATAAAATTAGAAGTAGCATTAGAATAGAGAGTGCTAGAGTTAGAGGGTCAAATGAAGATGAAAGAGACGTGTTTTCAGCCATTTCTTGAAAATATTAAGGACTCAGCTGCTTGGATTGAGCTGGGCAGGTCATTCCACCAGGAGGGAACAGTTAATTTAGAAGACCATGAAAGTTTTATCATAGGTAGAATGCAAAATGTAAAAAAAAAAAATACAAGCATTTCAGTCAAATGTAATTTATGCAGTATTTCAAACCTTTAACCCACTTGGGAAAATCAATCCATGGCAACAGTTTAAAAGTAGCTTATTTTTCACGTGCGGTGCCAGTGATGATGCTTTTACGTCCGTTTCGGAGAACCAGAGGACAAACATATCAATCGATCGCTCAGGCACGGCACCAAAATGAGGCACCGAAATCTGCGTTCGGATTCGGTTCTAGTACATACCGGTTACATACGTACCGGTGCCATATTGGTACCGGGTTTCAGTACCCAACCCTAGTTATTATACGAGTAATATTATCTCACAACTCTGACTTTATTTGTTATCTTAAACTTTATCTTGTAAAGTATTACCTTGTTTATCTTTTTCTATTTTTACCTTATCTTTATTTGTTTTCTCTATTTCATACTTTTCGGGTGATAACTACACCTGCTTGGTCGATTAACAGAGGTTTGGATTTCAAAAGAGTTACATTTTTAATTAATACTGCAAAATGTTGTTTAAATATTGGCACTGGTCATTGAAAAAGCCATATTGATCTATAAAGGTAGATGCTAACATTGTGAAAAGATACTATGCAGGGGCAACCATTCATTTGCGAGCTGCTACGTGAACTGATATTCCCCGACTTGTGAGATTTCACCCATGCATGCAGTACCCCACCAAATATTCTTGTTACTGCAAGAACAACATGAAGTGGGAAGACGGAATGTGGGACACGTCCTTTGATCTGTCAGGACAGGAAAAGAGAAACTCGATCCCTCCCCATTAATGCATTCCTCTGGCTCACACGACACACACAAACACACACGCATACATGCGCATGCAGATAAAATATAGATAAAATGCTTGGACTGCAGAGTCTCCGATTGATTCCTTACCTGCTCTGAGCCTCAACGGGACCACGGGAGCCATTCGGACTGGGACTGTTGGAATAAACGTGAAACACGACGAGATGAGACTTCAGCAATACTACAATGCACATTTCAGGGCCATTTCTTGTCTCTATTTTCTAGGTTAAATGGCGACTGGTTCTTTGTGATGATGTTGAGACTGACTCACTTTAGGACGAGATGCAGGTTAGCGGAGAGACGCGGGTCTGTGAATTGTGTGGTTCGGTTGTTGTGGTCCACAAAGTACACTCGTCCGGTGGCTGTGTTTCTTATCTCCCAGCCTGGAGGCAATGGGCCCAACTCCTCACAATTCACATTACTGAGATCCCTGCAGAGAGGAATTATTACGGTTTCATTTTAGTAATATGGTGATATGTATTATGATTATTGTAATCATAAAATTAAAATAATCACATTATTATTATGATTTGTTTTAGCTGTATATGACCTCTTGCACACAGAGCAGAAGTTTTATCCTTGTTGAGATGATAAATTATTATGATTCTGTAACTATAATATTAATTGCATTGATTGTATTTTATTGTTATAATATTATTATTATTAATTGCAATTTTTTGAAGACAATGGCATAGAGCCATTTGGAATGCATAATGTGCATAAATGCACATAACATCTGGAATATATTTCTACTTCTTTAGCTGGATGATTCATCGGCATAGTGCGTTTCATGTTATAGAGTTGATTTTTAATAAAATGCTTTTTTATTTTATTATTTAATTAAAATTATTATTTATTGCTTTTTTTCTATACATGTAGGACACATTAAGGCCTGGTTTCACAGACAGGGCTTAGACTAAGCCAGGACTAGGCAATAGTTTAATTAGGACATTTAAGTAATTTTTATTAACGTGCCTTAGAAAAAAACATTACTGGTGTGCATTTTGAGACAAAACAGAGGCACTGATATATTTTAAGATCAGTCAGTGCAAGTTTCTTTCAGTTAAAACAGCTCAGACTTACACTTTAGTCTGGGACTAGGCTTAAGCCTTATCTGTGAAACCGGGGGTAAAATGTATTAATATTTGAAAAACATTCGATTAACATAAAAACTATTTCAATATTCTTTGTGAAAATGATTTATATCACGATAATCATGATAGTGGAAATGATATTGGTGGAAATGAAAATGCCTAGTATTCATAAAATAGCACTAAAATATAGTTTAACTATATTTTAACATGCTCCTTAGACTGAAGTTCAAGTAAATGTGTGGAGGGTAAGACAAAAACAACAAGAACAAAGAGAGAAAACAGACAAAACAAAGATCAAAATGACAAAGTAAAAAAAAAAAAAAAACGAGACAAAACAAACTCCAGGGATGTTGCTTTCAGGTTTCTGCCAAACCTCATCAAACTAAGACCAAAAAATGTGCAGCACTGCAAAAAATGCTCAATGTCAACTCTCAACAGACTAGAAAAATAACCCGTAGCCCACCCTCATTTTTTCCATCATGTTCTGCTCTCAGATAAATGACAAGCAGCTTTCCCTACACAAAAAGTGGCTAAATGGTCCCCGCATATTTCCACGTTTCTCCAAGTTCATGTCTTCTCAGCTTTTGTCCAAACCAGTTAACAGCATTGAGCTTCCAGACATTTTTTTTTTGTTGCACATAGTAATATCTCATTGGTCAAAAAACCATAGCTATATATTCCACATTAATGTTTTGATTTTATCACAAAAAATTACTTTATGCATCGCATTTGGTTAGGACAAGGCACAAGTTTCCAAACAAATCCAGTGTAAAATAGAAGTTAAATAATAAAGTTAAGTTAAGTAATAAACATGCAAAATACACAAAGGTAAAGGAGGTACCTGGGCACTCTGGGGTCGTGCCATGTGCTGACACCCGTCTGCGTGTGCAGGAAGTACACCTGACCCTGCTGCGTGGTCCTTTGCTCTGTGAACAAACACCAGGGGGCACCATCGGTCATTCACAATGTTAAAAAAATGACAAGAGGCTTGAATGCAATCATTGTTTATAAGCTTATGTGTGTTTCACAGAAGTAATACTTTCTTCATTCTTTTACTTTCAGTTTGATTCACCGCATACCTATCTGATCCATCACTGTAAACTATGACCACATCACACAAATTTGTAAATGTTTTGAGTGATTTGTCTATGTTTCTGTGTATGTAAACAAATGTATTTTGTTTTACGTGTAACTAAATGTGCTGCCTATCTTGACCAGGACCCTCTTGTAAATGAGATTTTAAATCTCAAGAGTTTTTAATTTCCTGGTTAAATAAAGGTAAATAATAAAAAAAAAATTATTAATCAACATTAAGAGAAAATAATGGCTAAACATGATCAATAATGGCTAAATTTTATGTTGTCTAATGAAAGGAATTCATAGCATGTTAACAATTTAATTAATCTTTTAAAATATAACAAATAATTTACAAAAAAACATAGCATTTTTATTTACAGAACTATATCATTTATTTACATAATTATATACTGTATAAATTAAAACGGACGAAGAAATATCTTGGTTGCATGATTTTCCTTAAAAACACAAAATATTAATAGAATAATTATTAATAATGAAATTTAGTAAAACATTGCATTTATTATTATTACATTAAAAAGTACATTCTACTATATAACAGTAATACACTTTTTTCAATGACTTCAAGTTAAACCAAGCTTTTAATCTGGTGGTTTGTCCTGAAGACCTTTGAGTTTTGTGTGTATTTTCAGATTGTTTTACCAAATAAATTGGTGAAATGTTTGTGAACTCTCAGAGCAGCTCTGGAGATGAAATTCATGAAACTGCAGATGATGAAAACACTAAGGCCATCACATGTACTTGAGTATGTAAAGCAGACGAAACTGTAGCCACTCACGAACCAGATCTTCAAGATGTAGGCTAAATAGCTGGAAAATACTTGAAAGTTTATTACAGATAGTGAATTTAATTATGACGTATATTGATATATCACCCAGCCCTCAAGTACTTGACCTGCATCCCATGTCTACAGACCCACATTCAGCTACTTGAGCAGAGGAGAGCACACAGAGCTCTGTTTAACCTGTTTCTATAACCTCTGCCCTCTGAATCTCTCCTCAGTCTCACACACATGCACATAGACACAGCGGGATTTCCAGGTCACCCGTCTGACCCTGCAGCTGGCGCTGACGGCACGTCGGAACGATTTCAGACGAGTTCCTTTTCTACAGCTCAAGAGACGTTGTAATTACTCTAGCTGCAGCACGAATTTCCAGCGCAACTGCGTGTGTGTGAGATGTTGCAGGGTGTATTTTTGACCTTTGCAAGCTGGCCAGTATTAATGGAACTGATGCATGTGTGTGTGTGTGTGTGTGTGTATGTGTGTGTGTGTTTGAACGAACCGTATCCCTCGGGCAGGTCGGGCGGTGTGTGTAGGTGAGTTCTGCTCATGTAGTTTCTGTGTCTCTGAGAGCGAACCCTCCGCTCCTGCACCCGGGGGTCATCTGCAGGTACGACTGCTGCCCCGTTGGGCGTCATGATGGGCGTGTTCTCATCCACCAGGCAGCTGAGTGGCTGGCCGGGGCTCGAGTACTCGGATGCAGGCCTGTGTGTGAAAGAGGAAATGAGAACATGAGGGACAACAGACTACATTAAAATAGTTCAAATGTTTGGCGCTAGCAACATTAGGGTCATGGGTTGGATTACCAAGCAAAGTTTCGTATGCAAAAAATTGTTGTGTCCCTTGAATAAAAGTGTGTGCTAAATGTGTAAGTAAATGTACATGTGAAAGTCAAACGAACTGAAGATTACGGTGCATTTTTAAAAGAAATAAATCTTAGTTCTTGAAAACACCTTCTAGTTTTCAGATTTAGTTTTTTTCTGAAATTACAAATTGGAATCGCGTCTATTTCCATGGCCATTTCCAAATGGTTTGGACTTTGCTGGCAAAAAAATAAAAAATAAAAAAATAAAAAATAGACCAGTCTAGGTTGGTTTGCTGGTCTTAACTGGTTTAAAATGGTCTCCGAGACTGGCTAAGTTGGTGATTAGCTCAATCAACTAAAAAAAAAGATCAAAAATTGTGTTAAAACAAACAAACAGATCAGACTAAGACCAGCAAGCCAGCTTAGGCTAGTCTGTCCTATCCGACAAAACCACGTCAAACCCAATGACCTGGACAGTAATTTAGGCAAGCCAAAATGCCTTGATCCTACAAGACTTTATTTCAGTCTGCAAACCATTTGCATCTCTAACAAAAAATACAAAAACCATTTAGAACATAGTTTTAAAATCAAATAAAATAAGCTGGTTTGAACCTAGTTTGACCAGCTGAAAAACATCCCAATATCCCTCTAAAACCTGCCAACAGACCAGACTAAAACCAGCAAACCATCTTAGGCTGGTTTATGCTGTTGTTTCAGAAGGACCATGTAACAATTTGGTTGCTCTGCTGGGTTACAGATTGATATTAAAACAGCACAAACAGGTATTAGCTGTGGAAACCCAAGCACACAATAGTGTGACCTTTTGGTGTGAGGTTCAAATCTCAGAAGTACAAAATGTACAGGTGCTTTGGATACTAAATGAATAATGTAAACGTGTCAGCGCCCTGCAGTCTCCGTAGACAAACACTGGCAAGCAGAGCCGTGAGGAGCTGAGTGACTTTCAACGTGACAAAGTCACAGACCTGCAACCTCTCCAAACAAGGGAGTGAATTTCTGTCCGGCTCCAGCTGCCCAGGTTGACCGTAAGTGCTGTTATTGTGAAGTGAAAACATCTAAGTGTAACAACAGCAGCTCAGCTGTGAAGCGTCTGGCAACACGAGCTCACCGAACGAGGACAGAGTGCTGAATCATGTAGCGCATAAACACAGCCTGTACTCGATTTCAATATTCCCTCTGTTCCACACGGTTTCAACACATCAAAACGGCCTTTGGAAACAACGTCGGTATGAAAATTATGTTTTTAATAGCTTCCTTGGCACACTAGGACTAGTCGGCCAGTGTCGACACACAACCTCACTAACGTGCTTATGGCTGAATTGAACTAAATCCCCACAGGTATATGGTAACGTCTCGAGGAAAGACTAGAAAAATAGAGACTGTAGAGTAGAAACAAAAGAGTATATGGGTGTTTCTTAAACTATGGGCACTTTTGGCTCAGTATTTGGAATAAACTGGCGGCTAATTGTATTACTAGCATTTTATGCACCCTAAATACACTGAATGAAAAAAAAATTTTCACACGCCTTCTATTATTTGAGGTTTGTTCATTAGTGTTGGAGATGCTGTCCTTGCTGTCCCGGGCTGAGTTTTCCCAAATGCATCGTAAGCATAAGCAGATTGAAGAGACCAAAACGTTTGGGAAACGCAGTCCAGACCAACCTTTTTTCTAGATCTTCGTCTAGGAATGTTGCCTGGAATGTTTCTTGGTCTTTATGGTTTAGTGTTTCCTTAAAAATTCATGAAGTGGGGATGCTTCCTGACATGGCTTTGTATCTTTCAGCTGTGCTCTGGATACATTTGGCAAAGACGACAGATGTGGCCCACACACATTTTCCTGTTGTGCGGTACTCATACACAAAAATCACCATCCTATTCAGCAAAACCACTTTAAACTCAATGACCTTGACAGTAATTTAGGCAAGCCAAAATGCTGTTATCCTACAAGACTTGTTTCAGTCTGCAAACCATTTGGATATCTAACCAAACTAAAAAAGAAAAAATACAATAATGCAAATAACAAAAAAAGTTAAACAAAAATAAATAAAATTATAATACATTAAAATAAAATAAAAATAAAACTGAATTGAATAAGTAAAATAAAAAAAAATAAAAATAATAATTAAATTTAAATAAATTAAATTAAAAAAATATATATAATAAAAATAAATTACAATAAAAATAGAAATAAAATAAAATGTGAACTGGACTACAACAAAGGAAACCTGATCCCACCTAGTAGGTCTCTCCCATTGGGTGCTGCGTGTGATATGATTCAGATACTGGATCCGGCCACATGCAGTTCTCCTCTCCTCCCAGCTGCAGAAAGAACACAAAGAGACATTCATACAGATGAACAAACAGACAGACAGACACACGCACATGGCGCAGGAACAAACACAGGGGCTGGATAAGAACGTTGGCTGCTACCGTTCAGTATCTGCTAAAGATTAAACACTGTTGTATTTTTAAGCACTCATTTAGAGTTGCTTTTAAAGAGTTATTTAATGTACCCATCAGGCAGGTCGTTGTCAAACAGACGACTGCAGTCCACCACTGGCCCTCCGGAGCCTATCCTGTCCCTGGACTGAAGACTAACTGTTGACACAAACACAAAAAATCAGGCTGTTAGAGGGGTCCCATCTGTGCAAGGTTTTAGTGTCATTGAACGACAGAGACTATGTGACAGAAATGTCAAGAAGAGTGACATGCATTGCATAGATATTTTGCCATTTTGGGGTGTATGTATGTATGCATGTGTGTGTTTTTGAAATGTATCAAAAATATTGTCAGACACCAAAAAGTGTAATATTATTAGATATTGATATAAATCAAGGAATATGAAAAATTATCAATTAAAAAAAAAAAAATTATTAACCCATATTGTCAAATACAGATTTTTAATTAATTATCAATAAAAAAAAAAAAAAACGGTAATATCGTCAGACACCAATTAAGACTGTTTTAGAATTTATCAATTAAACATTTTTTAAAAAATTGAATCAAAAAACGCTTATTGGCAGATACAGATATAGATCATGCATTTAAAAATAAATCAATTTAAAAACTCAATCCATATTGTTGGGATACAATACAGATGCAGCATTTTTAATGAATTATCAATTTTAAATAAAAAAACAATTAAATGGTTAAATAAAACAAACAAACAAATAAATAATACTAGCAGATACAAATATAGAACATGCATTTTTTTTTAAAGATCAATTTAAAAAGAATTAATACTGGCAGACTCCAATATAGCCAATTGTGTACATTTTATATATACATTTTTAATACACAAATTAGGGGTGTAACTGTTCAAGTTACTCACGGTTCGGTTCGTATCACGGTTTTAGAGTCACCGTTTCAGTACGGTTCGATATGTGCTATGTTTAGGGAAAAAGGACTATATTGTCAAATAAAAATAAAGAAAATAAGAACAAACAATCTAATTACAAGCAACAGCTCAAATAAATACAATAGAGTGCTTTTCAGGTTTTTTTAGGTAGGTCTAACCGTTTTTAGGTACAGAAATTGAATTAAGTAATCAAATGTAAAATAGCATTGCATATTTGACTGATTAATCCTTTACATATTAAAGATTAATCCTTATTAAAGTTACAAAAGCTATTCAATCAAGAGCAGTGAGTGATTTCCTTGTCTTTTGTTGTTTGATTAACATTAAGAAAGTGCTGTCACTTTAAGTTAGTGCACGGATCCAGAACGGCACAGTTCGATTTTTAACCGAGAACCGTTCCACTCCTAATACAAATGGTGTGCAATGAGATATATTTAGAGTTAGGGGTTTGTTCAAAGTGTTTAGTATAAGCTATAGTAATAGTAAAGCTTGCCTTAGGGTTAGGGTTAATAACTACCTGCTTGCTTACATTCATGTGACTCAACAAAACACGTGACGCAAATCTTGACGTGACATGAAGACATACAGACATATAAGAGGGTTGTTTGAAACTCTCAGCCATGGGAAAGCATTCATCTTCTGATAAATGTCTGCTTGTAAAAACTGTGGTGTGGCTACGGGACATGCAACCCGGGGCGCAAATACATCACCACCCCACAAAACTCTTTCTTGATGAAGGAACAATGCGGCTCTAAGAGCATGAAAGAAAATTGCAATGGAATAGCCAAACGCAACATATAAATCATACAGAATGAGTGCCTTTTTCCTCCTTTGCTCCCAACCGAGCAACGTTTTTAGGGCGTCAAAGGTAAATTGTGTGGGTTTAACCATCATTAATGACAAGCTTTGAAGCTGGTGTGACTCATGGGATAAATGGCAGATGTGGCAAGGAGAGCAAATTCCTGACAGGTCAATTCCTCGAAACGAGCAAAGCTTGTGACTCACCTACTATCTGTCCCCTCACGGTATCGCTGTCATTGGGCCCCAACTTGTTCAGGTCCAAACGCTGATCTGTAAATGGACGAAAGAGGAGAATAAGAAAAAAGGTAGATAAAAAGTTCACTTGAGAAACCAAAGAGCCTGCGTGACGTTTGTGTCATAACCTCTGACCTCCTCACTCGGCGAACCATCTGACACTTAAAAAACAGCCTAAAACGCTCCACATTTCATGCGTCAGGTCACATACACTGCAGCACGCTGTGTGTGTGTGGGTGTATACACAGAGGCTGCTTTATTCCTCTCAGGCTGTAGATGTGCTGATAGGAGTGAGACGCTTCCAGAAACACGCTGGGGCTCTCTGTCATTGCCGGAAAGAAGGAGGCAGGAATAACAAGTAGCCTGCAGACATTAGAGAGGCCACTATCTGTTCTCACTCTCTCTCACACACACACACAGATCAGGATGCACAGCTAGACTAAACAGGGCTGGAGGAGCGTTCACCCATCCCAACACACTCGACTCACATTTAAACCCCTTCATATGGTCAAACACCTGCGTAGATGATTTAAAGGGGTCATATGATGCGATTTAAATTTTTCCTTTCTATTTGGAGAGTTACAAGCTCTTGGTGCATAAAGAAGATCTGTAAAGTTGCAAAGACTAAAGTCTCAAATCCAAAGAGATATTCTTTATAAAAGTTAAGACTCTGCCACGCCTACCTAAAACGGCTCGTTCTAACATGCCCCCACATGTCTACGTCACGATGTGGGAAGATTTGCATAACTCCACCCAAATGTTCACGCAAAGAAAGAAGGCGTAACTTTTAGTCTCACTGTAGTATTGTTGCCGCCGCCGCCATGTCGTGAAGGCACTGTGTGCTTCGTTGTGAAAGCGAAACTACTTTGTTTGGCCTTCCAAAAGAGGATGATATCTGCTTCGTCATGCCTGGAGCTGATCCGTGCTGGTTGCTGAGGAAATACTTCAACTTCGCGCTGTCGCCGGATCGCTGATCACCGGATCGGAGTCCAGCCCGGGGTCGTCACATGTGGTTGCCGCAGGCAACATTTCCGTCACACGCTTCAGAAATTCGGCCAATCACAACGCACTGGATAGCTGGCCAATCAGAGCACACCTCGCTTTTTCAGACCGATGAGCTTTGTAAAAATCGACGCGTTTCAAAAAGGCGGGGCATAGAGGAGAAACAATAATGTACAGTATGTGAAAAATAATGTGTTTTTTGAACCTTAAACCGCATAAACACATTTCATTACACCAAATACACAAAATAATGTTCTTTTTAGCAGCATCATATGACCCCTTTAAAAAACAATACTATTATTTACTATTATTTTAATATACTATACTATACTAATAAAAAAAACTGTACTATTGACAAATATTGACATAGCAGTTACAGGTACATTGTGCAGTTTTATAATTTTATTATAATTAAAAAATAATCAATATTGGGCAATACCGATAAATGATATATTGATATACACAATATATTTTTGTAAAGCTACTGTAATTATAGCAACAAATAACAAGTAATACTGGATTAAACAGATATTGCTATCCGCTACAGCTATATATTTTTTTATTTTTTGTAATTAGAAAAATAAAGAACATTAGCTGAAACAGATATAGACGTCATCGAAACTTAAAGAAATTATATACATCAGTCTTTCCCACAGACTTACACTCGATGTGTGGTGGCACTTCGCCTGGGGGAAATATATATGTATATAATGTAAATATAAAACAGCAGAAGGGCTTATTGAAAGTGCAAATTCACTCTCTGCCAGCAGGAGGCACTTTAAGAGCGGCAGAACTAGTGGTTTCCCCGGTAACGGCTGTAAACAAAGCAGCTCATAAACGCTGCTTTATCAGGCATTACAGGAAATATTAAATGAAAATGACATCAGAACTTTTCTGAAGACAATCGGTTCCCTTCAAAAAAGATAAATTTATATAAAAACACCCGTGCCGCGTTTTGACTTTGAAACATGCAGTGCTCATGTTTATTCAACGAAGTCAAAGCCTTTTGGAAAATCTATTTGTGGCGGTCAGTGTTGATATTGTGGCGGGCCGCCACAAATAAATCAATGTATGGGAAACCCTGTATATGTTTTTTTTCCATTTAAAATACATATAGAAATATATAGACACTTATAACAAGAGGAAGAGCAAGAGCAAGAAAAAGAAAAAGAGGAAGACGACGACAAATAGGAAGTGGACATGAGCAATCAAAATGGAGAGGAAGAGCAAGATTTGATATATTTGTGAATTTATATTAATTAAAAAAAGAAGAAGCTAATATTGGCATGAGATGAGACCAAAATTATTTATATTAAATAAATAATTTCCTATTTAAGACCCTGATCGTTACTGACAGACTGAACGGGAGACAGAGAAAGAGAGAGAATGAGAAAAGACAGAGAAAGAATGATGGCAGAGAGACAGAAGGGGTGCAACAGGAAATGGTGAACTGAATCACTTCCAGCTGTGGGAGCGGCTGTGGGTTTCCTGTGCTTATCCAGGACAGTGGTCACGCTGGAGGGTTTCTAGGGAAAGCCTGCTTTTAAAATCCTCTTAAACACAAACGTGGGGCTGGAACGCAGCCAGACAGACTCGTACCCTAAACATACTGACTTAGTTCACCACCAAAAAACACTGGTTCTTGTGTAGCCGACAGGAAAATGATGCACAAATAACAGGACGTCTTTTACCTGAGACAGACAGTGGTCTTCAGCCAAAGATACATATATTATGTTCAAAAACACTGTTGTTGTGTTTTATTTAAAGGTTGTCCATTTAACACACACAGCCATTGTAGTACATACAGTACATATAACCTCTCTGAGCCAATTATACACACACAAGTACACTTGAAATCTGCCGGAGCCAGTTTTACACACAAGTTAGACCTGTGTTTTCTGAGCTAATTATACACACACTAACAAGACACCCACACTTACAGCCTGTGTCCTTGAGTCGGTTAATGGAGTTGGAGAGGAGTCGTACGCATCCCAGGAATCCCGCTCCCTGTTTCTTATGGATCTTCTTATGGTTCCACACGCTGATGGTGATGGAGTCCGACTTCCCGATATACCTGAAGAAATAACAAGAGACGTCACTTCAAGTCGGATTTCTACATTTTCTATCATGTCTCAAACTCGGACCATATCAGTCTCGAAAGCCCATGGTGTTTGTGTAAAACATGTTTTATGAACCATGATTACACACAGCGGCTCAGAGGAGAAGAACTGTTTTAAGAAGAGCAATGAGGACTTTATTAAAAAGCAATGAAGACGGTAAAAATGATGCCAGAAAAATGACACCGAAGAAGACAAAGAGGATAACAAGGAAGACAAAAACATTGAAGATGATTATGAAGACGAGTAACTCTTCAGTAAGATGAAAAATAAATACCAACGCGGAAGAAGAGGAGAAAAAAGAAGAAGAGGAAGAGCAGAGAAAGACAACAAAGAAGCGCAAGATGACAAGAAAGAGGAAAAAGATGATGACAAATAAGAGAAAAGAGGGACGAACAGGAAAAGATAGAAGATAAAGAGAAAGACAACAAAGATGAGGGGAAAAAAAAGAGGAAGATGGCAGACTAAGAGGAGGAAGAAGGGCAAGAAGATGACAGAGGAAAATGAAGTAAATGAAAATGACAAAGAAGAAAAAGTGGAAGACGACAAAGTAGGTCAAAATGACAGATGAGGAAAAGGAAGTAGAAGAGGAAAAGGCGAGGAAGAAGACGTGGAAGAGGAAGATGACAAAGAAGTGAAAGAATGACAAAGAGGAGGTTGAAGTAGATGAAGAGGTAGAGGACGTAGAAGAAAATGAGGAAGAAAAAGAGGAAGACAATGAAGAAGCAAAAGAGGAAGATTAAAAAGAAAAGCAAGATGATGACAGAGGAGGAGGAAGTAGATGAAAAAGAAAAAGAGCAAGAGGAAAAAGATGATGAAGAGTAAAAAGACAATGAAGAGGACGTCAATAGAAAGGAGGAGGAAGAAGAAGATAATAAAGAAGAGCAAGATGTCGAAGTAGATTGAAAACAATGAAGGCGGCGGCGAGCAAGAGGGCAGCAATTACCAGGAGTAAGAGTGCGAAGACGAAAAAGGTGACAAAGGAAGTAGATTAAGATGAAAATCATAAGTAGGAAGAAACTAAATATGAAGAACAGGAAGTAGTAAGAGTGCAAAGAGAAATGGGGTCATTTTCACTCCATTGACATTTGTCTAATTTTGTTTGGTTCTTTTAAACAGGGTGAAAACACCCTGAAATCTTCTCAGACCTTCAGCAAACCTAACAAAGAAGTTAAAGAACTTCTCAAGAGTTCTCTTCTTCTCTCATTACCGTATGCATTTCATCAAGTCCTACATAAAAGTCAGCTGGTTTGTCTGAAAGTTTTGGCATGGCGTTAGATAAAACAAATGATTCCCTTAAATTCGGGGGAACAGAAACACCTCCAGAACTGGACATCAAAAGGAGCTAGGCTGTCAAAAAATGTCCAAGCAAAGTCTGAACGCTCTGTCAGCCTGCCAACGGGACAGAATCCCTGGGCAACAGATCTTGTTTGGACGGAAAACCAATCGAAGAGGTAGAGGAGTAGAGGGAGAAAGGGCAGAAAAAGGAGCAGGATGAAAGAAACAAGACGACAGAATGCCAATGACTGTGTGGATGCTCTCACCAGAATGAGTCCAACCAAACCCAAACAATCAAGAGTTCTTCTCTCTGATCTGGAGAACATTTATCAACTGCCTACAGAGCCAAAAAAAACAGCTCTGAAGTCTGAGCTCACAACAGCCCTTATACAACAATACTTCGGATAGTCTTTATGCCAAATTTTACTTGTATCAGTCAAGAGCTTGTAGCAACAAGTTACTCAACCAGACCAAAAGACGACAGGACAAAACAAAAGCCAAGACAATAAACCGAAACCTGTGCTGTCAACACTTGACAACAGACAATTATGGTTTAGTGCATTTTAGGTTTCTCTGATAACCCGTCATCAAACCTCAGTGATTGTTTCTGAACTTTCTCAGGAAATACCAACAACACTGATTTGGTAAATGGGTTAACAACAAACAGACTCCCCATTATAATGAATATATTTTCCTTGTAAATCTAATTTAAAGCATATGTGGCAAGCTTTTACAAATGTAATCTTTGAATTCATTTTGAAAAACCCTTTTGACCAAAATTCTTGATTTTACATGTCTGAAAATGTAGCGAAATATTCAAGTAAAAAGATGTGTCAAAGTACACATCAACTAAAAACACACACATACACATATACTTGTGAATTAAATAATTAAATAAAGACTATTACTCTGAATATCAATTTTCTTTGGGGTTTTAATTTATTTTTCTAAAATATTAATAGTTTAAAGCAAAACCACTCCACTGAAGTAAGAACACAAGAAATAAGAATACAAGATCATGGCTTAATTTCTACTACTTAATTTCTACTAATTTTGCTACTTAATTATGGCTACTTAATTTCTGTATTTTACCACCTCAAGACAATTATACAACCTTGACCTTTAAGCACAAATAAATAAATAATGAAAATTATCATTTAAAAAATGGTTTGAAAATGTACTACTACTACTTTGGTGACTATGACTTCGCTACCCATCACAAATTGATTTTAACAGTACACATAGATTTGTATGCTTTAGAAGAACATACAGCCTTTATACACTGATAAAGCCATCAGATATAATGAGCAGGTCACCTAATTAACCAGGATTAAATGACTACCCTAGTAAAAAAGTAATACATTTATTTCATACTAAGTTTAGTTCAAATATATTAACATATTTACTGACATATCGCTTGAGACTTACTGATATAAAAATAATTAAAGGGGTCATATGATGCTTTTTTAAAGATCATTATTTTGTGTATTTGGTGTAACAGAATATGTTGACATGCTTTAATGCCGGTATATCGCAAACGATAAGATATCGCCCATCCCTAACTGAAACCACGCCTTCTTTCTTTGCGTGAACATTTGGACCGCATTATGCAAATATTTCCACATAGTGAGGTAGATATGTGGGGGCGTGTTAGAACAAGCCATTTTAGGTAGGCGTGGCAGAGTCTTAACTTTGATAAAGAATATCTCTTTGGTTTTGAGACTTTAGTCTTTGCAACTTCAGGGATCTTATCTATGCACAATCAGCTTGTAACACTCCAAAGAGAAAGGAAAACTTGAAATCGCATCATATGACCCCTTTAAACTTTATTTGGAGTACTACTTGTGCACAATCCACATTTCTTAAAATGAAGCCTAAAATGTGTTTTACTATCACTAGTAATAAGGATTGTGTGAAATCTGAATAATATCAGTCTTTAAATTAAAGATATTTAATGTGTACCTGAGTTATACTTGCAATAGTTCCACTTTAGCACAATCAAATATACTTCAGTTTATCTTTAGTTGGACCTCAGCACTACTTCTGAAATCCTACTTAAAGGTGCTGTATGTAGAATTGACACCGAGTGGTTGAACTAGGTATTGCAGTCCAAATTCAAAATATTGGAGAGGGTTTTTTTCACCCGGTAGTATACTTAGCACAAAATAAATGTATTTCAAATACATTTTAGTATATTTATTTTTCACTAGGGTGAAAAAGCTTTGAGCTCACTTCATTCAAGAGTTTCGCACCATGTTTGTGCACTCTTCTCTTTACAAGACTACATTTCCTGAAGTCCGTTTCTTTTGCCTTTCTTTTAATCAATTTCTACAGAAAACATCTCCCAAAACTGATGTTTTGACCTAAATCTCTAGCGTATCTTTGCCCGATTTCATTTTGTAAGTCTCCTCACATCTAGGTTAACGTTTTTACCTTATCGCTTATGCTCCTCTATCATAAGTTGCTCTGTATAGAAGCTTCTGCTAAATGCATGAATGTAAATGTGAATCTCTGCTGGCATTGTTTTTTGGTTATCAGCAAGTTTTTCTTCAGCTTGATTCTCTGTGTTATTCTTCATTATGCACATTAGCAGTTATCTTTCAGTTCAGCATGCAGCCCTGGGAGGTTTTTAGTCCTGTCAATCTTTCATCATTAAATGATTCTGACATTCTGTTGGTCCTGACATTCAACAAAAATAACAAAACTACCAAATAGCTCAATAACCTTTCAACAATGGCGACATTTCAACTGTTTTCCCTGCCAACAAGGAGGCAACTGAATCCCTGTGATGTGCATTATGGGAATCCTAGTTTTACTAACTTATAACTTGAGTTCAAAAGCACTTATGAAAACCCAGATGGCGAACAGAAATCCCTAAGTATTTAGGATGTAGAGTTTAAGCAACATCTCCTTGGTTTTCTCTTCCCCACCCATTATTCTGGGTTGCAGGGCAGGCTGTGGAAACGGCGACCTATTTTCCGCTGACAGACGTGACATGTTTGGCGAACTCGACAGCCGTCCTGGGGGGTGAGGGTTAGTCTACGGTTGCCCTGGCAACCAAACAAACGGAGACGTGTGCTTCCTTTAGCTGCCGGCTGTCAGCTCGACATGAGAATGGGACAAGTATTGGAAATCTGCTCCCCTTCTTTTTTTTCCCGACATTTCCTTGCATCTCGGTTTTTAATGTTAATGTCCTCTCTTAAGTTTTGCTTTTGGTCTGTGGGAAAAACAACAAGCCTGCATGGAGGGAAAGTTTCTATTTTTATTCCATGCTGTGAAATTGTCGATACTCGTAGTTAAAGATAAAACCTCTTTAAAAATGTAAATAGAGCTAGAAGCGTACGGTATAACGAAAGGATATGGGATTTTGCACCCATGGAAATCCATCCTGCACAGATAGAGCGGTTGACTCCAGAGAAGGTGACCTAAATCCTCAAAGCCTGAAGGATGCTGGGAGCTTTACTGATGGGCTACACTGATCAAGAGATTGGAAGAAATCACACACCACCGGTTCAAGAAAAAACCCTGGGCTTATTTTAAAGTGCATGTTAATGGGTTAGTTCTATGGATGTTCATTTCGGTTATTTTTCCTAACCGACAACCGACGCTCGTTAACCGATTATTATCCGTTAACCGACAAGATTATTTTAAATTAGAATTGAAATAAATTAGAAAGGATAAGTGTCTGTGACCCATTAAAAATACTAACATTTGTTTCCCGGGGATTAATTTTACACTCGCAAAAAGCAGCAAACAACAGAACATGAGGATTCACATGGTCACCATATCACATCACGCACCTGCAGCACTTCTGCGAGCGGAGAAAAACATAATAAAGCTAGGCTATATATAATATATAAAACGAATAAACAGGCCTATACGAGAAATATATTTTTACTTAAATAATAAATTAAGAAAATGAAGGAAAAACTGTGCAACAAGTAGCCTAGTATGCAGAGTTTCGGTTCATTTTTGTGCTGAGCGAAAGGAAACAGACGACAGAAAGCGGCATCCTATTTTTCTTTACGCTTATTTTACAAAAGCACAAAGATTTGTTTTTATTGTGAATGTACACAAATAAAGGCAAACATTTTACAATTCTGATTATCTTTATGACTAAAAGGAGTAGTTGCTTCCACTGTTAGAAGGAAAAAATTCAAGTGATTGCGCCGGCGCCGCATGCGCGCACACAGTGTCAAGGTAGCAATGCAGCCTGTTCATTATCATAATAAAATACAGTCAGTCAAACATATGGAAAAAAAACACTGCTCAGTTTAAATATGTAGTAAAATCTGTGCCGTTAAGTTTTATCACTGTACCGCCGTGATGTTATGTCAAACACATTTTGTTTTACGTGGATATTGGAACGCGAGTGAAGTAGGCTACATAATAAATAATAATTTGGCATTCAAATACATCGCGAATACGGAAACATTTGATTTTGTGACGAATGAGAGACCCAACGTTGGCTTCAGTTTCGTTTTAACCTAAATGAATTCGTTTTGACTTGTCATTTTTATTGCTATAGCTTCTAATTAGGGATGTCAACGATTAATCGATGATTGATTAATTGTCGATAAGAGATGCAATCGATTAAAGCTATCGATGGTCGATTAAGTCGTTTAATTTTGGTTGGTTTCAGTTTCGTTTTAGCCTAAATGAATTCATTTTGGCTTGTCATTTATAATGCTATAGCTTATATTGCTATAATATTTTTAATTCTTGTTCTTTTCTAAATACTGTTAATTGAAAGGATTTGTTGTGGAGTGTGGAGTGCTAAAATAGCCTAGCTATGTTTACAGTGTTTATTATAATGTTTGTAAACATTTTGCGTCGGCATTAGGCCTATTTCTGAATGAAATAATAACTTATCACAATTTTTTTATATGCATAGCATATTTTAACCACGCAGCAAACCTTTTTAAATATTTTGATAAATTACTGAGAAAAAATGAATAAATGACTTTTAAAACCGTTTAACTGATTGTACTAATCGGTCAAAATTCTTACGGTCGGTTAAAGGCAGGGTAAGCGATTTCTAGTAGCCAATGTTGACATTTGAAATCACCAAAACAAACACGCCCCTACCCTAAGGGTCTCGCCCCTATTTTGATAGCTCCGCCCCACACATACGTACACAACCCAGGCAACGATTAGTTCTGTGAAACAAAGCAAAACCTGGGTCCTACTTCTTGCCTTATTGCCTTAAGCCTTCGCTTGTTCTGCAGACGTTTTCCTCTTTTGTTTTTTATCTGCCATCTCTGTCGTTCTCAGACTGAACGCGCTCTCCTCCACATCAAGTCTGTTTTGCTATTCGGCCCGAATCAGTTTTCTAAAGCGTTTTTGAAAAATCGCTTACCCCACCTTTAACGGTTAACCGGTTAAAATGAACATCCCTAGTTAGTTCACCCCCAAATTTTAATTTTATCATTATTTGCACACCGTCAAGCCATTCATGATTTTCTTTCTTTTGATGAACACAAAATTTTGAATGGAAATGAAAGATATTTTGAAAAAAAAAAGTTTTCCATACAATAAATTGGTCATTTTATTGTTGAGCTTAATCAAGGAAAAAAGTGGTCGACAAACAATGTTTGTTAGCGATTTTCCCCACCATCGCAGCATTCAAATCTCAACTGAGTAAATTCAAATATACTGTGTGACGAGTCATGCTTGGTTTGCATGTCAGTAATGCAGAGCGACATTGGTTCTCGAGTGTTACATGCATAATATGCAGAAAGAGATTGGAGGTTGAGGGGAGAATGAAGTGAATAATAAATTCAATTTTGTTTTGTTTTTTTCTTACAGTAAGCTAACGTATAGCTTCAGAAGACTTGAAATACATTACACAACTCATATGAACAACTTCTATAGTGTGTTTTTTCTTTTATGTTGCTTGGCTGAAAAAAAAAATAAAGTCAAATAAAATAAAATCAGCATCCATTTTGTTGTATGGAAAAACATTTTCCAAAATATCCCTTTTTTCACAGAAAAAAACAATATACAGATTTGAAAGAACACAATGGCAATAAAATAATGGCAGAATATTATTTAATGCTTGAATATTCCATATTATGGAAGATTTGCTAGTTTTCTTTGTTTTGTTTTGTTTTGTTTTGTTTTGTTTTGAACCCAGTATCAAGTGAACCACAATCCATAAGCACACTTAAATGTGATGTCAAAAACAGGCTCAATCGCTCTGGGTGACTTCACGCAGAAAAACGGCCAAAATAAACCCACACATAAGCGTCTAATGTGCTTGAATATTCCATATTATGGAAGATTTGCTAGTTTTCTTTCTTTTCTTTTGTTTTGTTTTGTTTTGTTTTGTTTTTAACCCAGTATCAAGTGAACCACAATCCATAAGCACACTTAAATGTGATGTCAAAAACAGGCTCAATCGCTCTGGGTGACTTCACGCAGAAAAACGGCCAAAATAAACCCACACATAAGCGTCTAATGATACAGTCTGACACTCTTAAGCTCCTACAGAAAAGAACTACAGTGCAGAAAGCCAAGTCTCTAAAACTCAACTCAACAGATGACCACGTGCTTCGAAATAAGATCTGCTTCTGAGTGGTGGTCTTCTGGATTGTGGTATCTACACATTACTGTCTCAGGTTTAAACAGAGCTGGGATCAGTGCAAAGGGAATCAAGGTGTGCCACTGGCTGTGTGTTTGAAAGCAATCAGACCAGGAAGAGCTCTTACAGGTCATAGTGCTGGTTCCATTTGGGGTCCAGCGTGTTCCTCACTGTGTCTGTTGAGTGGCACTGCCCTGAACCGTCCACCACCACCTTAGCGAAGGGGTCTGGCAGTCCTGCAAAATACACAAACGTCGTTTACTGAGACTTCTGAGCAGGAATCGAAGACAGCATTGAATACAAGATCATTTCGTTCATAATTTGGTTTGAAATTTATATGAAACCTGAAACCAGCACATGTTGCAGAGGAGTCCAAAAATAATAAAACTCCAATTACTACAGATGGACTTATACTGGAAATGGTGACTATCAAGTAATTTTGTTAGATTACTGTGTTACTCCCACACAATAATATTACTGTGCATTCGGAAAGTATTAAGGTCCTTTCATTTGTTGTTACACATTTTATGTTACAGCCTAATGATAAAATGCTTTAAAATATTTTTATTTTAATTGTATTATTTTTTTATTGCTACATTTTATGGTTTTTAATGATAGTTCTGAATTATTTTTGATTACAATGAAAGAGTAGTAGTAGTAGTTATTTTTATTGCCATGTCAGCATCTAAGGCTATCTTCATGGCAAAAACTGAGTTGCAACAATACAAGAGTTATACAAGATTTTTTTTTTAATTAACATAATAAAAATTCTAAAATATTTTCTGGTAGAATTTCAATGAAACAAATTAAATCAATGTAATTAATGGGTGTATTCAAAAACAAAACAGGATTACTTTTCTCATTAGTTCTAGAAAGTATTTTTTCCCGCCATTAACACTGTTGGTCATTTAATATCAGCATTTATAAAAATAACCGAATTGGTTTGATTGCACATGCAAAATTCGAGATCGAAGCTTTAGTATTGATGCTTTAGAAAATATTGGTTAGTATTGAAGTATTTAGTATTGAGGATATTTCAAAATGAGCAGATATCTAGATTTCACAACTTACATTACAATGTTGTGACACTTTAATTCATTTGAGCATCAAATAAGTTTACAATGACAAAAACAAAACCACTTTTTAACTTAGTATGTGCCATTTTATTTTTTATGAGAAATTAAATCTAGTTGTAATCTAATCTAAACTAATCTAATATTAGTCATGTATCAGCTATTACAGAAGAAAAATGTATTATCAGTACATCAGCACGGGCCAGCATTATAATATTAGTTTATCCCTAACAAACACATTTTCCCCAAACATCGTTTTTCCTCCAACCCTCTACACTGCGAGTAAATCACTCGCATACAGTGGGTACGGAAAGTATTCAGACCCCCTTAAATTTTTCACTCTTTGTTATATTGCAGCCATTTGCTAAAATCATTTAAGTTAATTTTTTTTCCTCATTAATGTACACACAGCACCCCATATTGACAGAAAAACACAGAATCGTTGACATTTTTGCAGATTTATTAAAAAAGAAAAACTGAAATATCACATGGTCCTAAGTATTCAGACCCTTTGCTCAGTATTTAGTAGAAGCACCCTTTTGATCTAA